GGGGTCAATGGGGGGGGGGCATCTGTAATACTTTCAACAATAAGGATAATTTTAAATTAAAGTACTAAAAGCAATTGTACTTTACATATACTGTATACTAGCACTGAACACTTAGAACACCCAAACTAAAAATACAGTATCATTTCCAATGACTAAAAACAAGAGAAATATCTGGATATAAATCTAACAAAATATGCATAGGCCATGTACACTGAAAACTACACAATGCTAATGAAAGGAATCAAAGATCTTTTTAAAAATGGAGAGACGTACCGTGTTCATGAATTGGAAGACTTACCATGGGAAAGCTGACAATTCTAAGTCGATAGACCGGGTTTAGTAGAATTCCAATCAAAAGCCCAGCAATGAGGAGCGACAGTGAGATGACGGACTGGGTAACTCCAGGCTCTTTTTTCCCTGTGAAAATATTTTTTTAAATTAAAGACGGGAAATAATTTAATATTTAATAGGAGCTCTGGAAAAGTCCAAGGTCTACAGCAAACAACTGAACACCCAAGCAAGAAAAAGCCACATTAAAAATGGTAGGAAATTTCATGGCATTTTTACTCATTCTTGCCCCATCCGCTTTTCCAGGAGGTGGCAGGGGTCCAACTGCCCACACACTGTCTCCAACCAGGCCAAGCAGACCCTCAGACCCTATTTGCAAAGGTCTAACCTGTGTGGGGGCTGCCTGAGGACTGCCCTGTTTTAATCAACTCCAGAGCTCAGGTAGGGAAAAGCAGAAGAGCTCGGATCTTAGGCAGAAAAACCCCACGAAAAGCAGTGAGCAGCTCTTGTGAAAGCTGCAGGGGGACTACAGATTAACAGATGCCTGGGTAAGAGATTACCGTTAGGTGGTGAGAATGCAAAGTGGTGAAGCCACTGTGGCAAACAATAGAACAGTTCCTCAAAAAATTAAAAACACAATTACTGTATGACCCAGCAATTCCACTTCTAGGTATATAACCAAAAGAATTGAAAGCAGAAACTCAAATACATATTTGCACCCCCATGTCCACAGTATTATAATAGCCAACAGGTAGAAGCAATCCAAATGCCCATCAAAGGATAAATGCGCCTGGCTGGCATGGCTCAGTGGGTGAGCGTCGACCTATGAATCAGGTGGTCAGGGTTCGATTCCTGGTCAGGGCACATGCCTGGGTTGCAGGCTCGATTCCCAGTCAGGGGCATGCAGGAGGCAGCCGATCAATGACCACTCTCGTCATTGATGTTTCTCTCTCTCTCTCTCCCTCTCCCTTCCTCTCTCTGAAATCAATAAAGATATATATTTTAAAAAAATAAAATAAGAAAATCTAAACATTGAATGGGTATCAATGAAGAGCAGTAAGAAAAGGATAATCTTTTCTCTTTTCCCTTTTACTT